GCAAAAGCTGATAAGGCAAAACAAACAAGATGACAAAACAAATAATCTTTCTAGCTGAAAGGGCAATGCCTGAAAGAGAGTCTCTTTTCCCCCCGCCCCCCCCCTACTGGGACTCAGACTTGTTTCTCGATTGATATGACTTTACTGCAGTCTCTTTCTGGTTTCTAAGGCTGCTGAATACTGTCCTGGGAAACAGGAAAAAGAGGAAAGAAGAAGTTTGGCTTCTCTGTAGACATTCTGGCATTATGCGTAAGTTGTCACCAGGAAAATTTTGCATAGAGAAGCAAAAAATATAAGATAACTAGAAGAGGCAAATATGAAAGTTAGAGCAGTCTAGTGGACAAAGCCTAATATAAAGCAGTTACCTGCATAGGACAGATCAGAGAGGAAAAATGCTTGAAAGAGTAAGCTGAAATCTACCCAAATGACTTGCACGGAACAAAAAAATCTACATAATTACATGTTATTGTGACTGTTGTTATATTTTGACTATGCACAGCCAAAAAGTACTGAGCAAGAGCTGAGACCACGCCTTGAGTCACCATTCAAAATCATCTACCTTGGAGAGAGACATAAAACACAAGTCTCTGTGGCTTGTGAGAGAGTTTTTAGAAAACTGAAGGCTTTTCTTAACAACTCCTTATGTAATATAGTGCCTAGTGCCAGCATCTCACAATGCAAGAAAGAAGGGAATTGATTGCACAGGAGGGTGGAGACAAATGTACTCCCAAAGTTAAATGAGTCAGCTTGGAAAAACTAACTCAACACAACCTAAAGAGAGAAAGAATGAGAAAAACAGCAAAAATATGTTACATAAAGAAGGCTTCTGTGAGCACTCCAAGCAGTGCCCACCAGAGCCTGCTGCTGAATGACGTATACGGAACGTTCTTCACCACTTTCTGATCCACTGCGCTCGAGACCTTTGTCCATTTGCTGAGCAATTTGCTCAAAGAATCCAGGGCTGTCAGAGAGCAGGGACTCCTATTTTGCTGTAATCCCTTCTGTGAGGGGCAAGTCTCCGAAGTGATAAGGCTAATTATTGCTTTGGAGAGGGACTGAATGTACTGCCATGAAAGACTTCAAAACAAAGCTAAACAAAAATTGTCAGCTAAACAACCCCCTTCCCTCCCAGCCCCAGTTCGAGTTGTTCTAGCAACAACAGGCACCCAAGTTCTTATCCCATGCCAGAGAATAATGGTAAATTTGGGCTTGTTTTGGTTTTAAACTGCAGCTGGTAAAAGGAATGCCAACAAATAGAGAAAGTGTTTATAGTAAGCACAAACTTCTCAGTGTACAAATATACGTGTTTTCATAACTCAGCAATCAACAGCTAGAATACGCAAACACTGTTCTTAAGAACAGGGTGCAGCAGGATATACAAACCCACTCCTTCGTTTAAGGAGGCCATTGCAGCATGTGACCCCTCCACTGGCAGGAGGTAGACCAGATATAAGGATCTTTGTGAACAAAAGGTTGATATAAACAAACCTTTTGAAAACAGACGCACGCGAGGAGCCACCGGGGGTAGTTGCACTGGCTAATTTCATTGCAGCTGCAATTGCAGCCGCAACAGGAATTTATGATCTTTGGCACAAAAAGAGATGGACAGAAAGTGCTGGAGAGGTCTGTGTACTCCGGGAATGCTTGCCCTGTTTGCTCTAACACTTCAGCTCTCAGGAACTGCACAGTGTCTTTTAAAAAGTTTGACAGCTGAGCACTAGCTGCCCATTCCCCAGCACCTGACCATTCTTAACAAGGAAGGTGCCTGCTAATGCTCCTTACACCAGTAGTTTCACCAAGGGAATATGCGCAGGGCCTAAAAAGAGAGCCAACAACAGATGCTTCTGTGGGAGAACATGCTATCTTGAAAATAGTACCAACATTGCAGAGATGAAGCTTCAGTAAGCATGAGGAGCAAGATAAACAGCAAAGCCTATTTCAGCGCCCTTTCCTAGGGCAAAAGAGCCAGGATGGCAACAAGAGAAGTCTGCAAGCAGCTGGCACCTCTGTGCTGTGAGAGCTGTGTGCTCTCCTCGCTATCACACTCTCCTTCCTCACATTCTAGCTGCAAAAAGCATTTTCCTGCCCACTTGAAGTTTTCCCATTTTTTTGTTTGTTATATTCTGATTATACAAAGGCTAAGAGAATTGCTTCACAGAGGCCTTCCTGTTTTTGTAGCCATTTAGAAACTCAGTACACCCTTTCCCTCAAAAAAAAAAAAAAAAATTAAGGCACTTAAGTTTGAGCACCTCTAGGCAAACTCCAAATCCAAGCAGTCCGCTTACTGAATTCAAGCTTTCATCCATATTCCAGAGGAATGAATTACAGGTATGTTTTTCTGCTACTGCACACTAAGTCGTTTGCCCTTGGCACACAGCTCTAATAATGAGGTAGTTCTCGAGAGAACACACATATTATGTACCGGCAGAGATTATGGGTATATACAATTACTCCACCCATATTGGTCAGAAAAAATGTATCAACTTTACATTATCAATTTCATAAAATGAACAGTCATCAACAGAAGGAGCAAGATAAGGACAAGAGGCAATGTAGATTTTATGCTCTACAATATGTTTCAACTACAGCTGATATTTCGCATACTTTAAGAGTAGTGTCTTCAAAAGATTCCAGCAATGAGGAATATCGTAACTGTTAAAGAGGCACAATATGCACATTTCAGTATTAATAAAATAGTAAGCCATTCTGTATGACAAAATACTCATTTTACCTGGTACTTAATATGTAGATCTTCACTATAACCTTTTCTGTATGAAGACATTTACTCAGAGTTATTTTAAATAATATCGAAAATTACTGGACAACCAAAAATCTCGTATTTCCTCTCTGAAAACCTTTTCTCTAATATCAAAGGAAAACAACTGGCAATGACTGATTTGTCGTAAGGATTACAGTCTGGGGGTTTGGAGGGCTTCTGGACACATAGTTCACGTGCTTACTTCTCCACAATGATACTTGTGAGTCTGCTAATGTGGAGTTCTGTATCAGCAACCACATCATATGTGTAGCCATTTACACTCTGCTAATCCATCCATATCACGGTGTCTTAGCATGGAAAGGGAGTAAACCACAAGCATTTTCATGAAACAGCAAATTGTTATCATTGCCAAGAACAACCTTTATTCTCTTCTAATAAGATCATATGATAGCTGAGCAGATACAGTCTTTTCACTAAAACATATTTGATAATGACATATAATTACACAGTGATAACATTTATTTAAGAACTTCTAGTACCTTGTGCCAGAAGAAAAATCCCAACAATCAGAGCAGTCTGTTTGCAAAGGACATTATAGTCTAGATCAGATGCCAGAGCCCTTCCGCTCAAAAAGGTGAAAACTCAAGTGGCCTCGCATTGAAAATAGCAGGTCATACCTCACCATGAGCTTTCACAGAGGTGATCCACGACTGCCAAAGGGATGCTGACAAACACTCCGGATACACCACAGGGTTAACTAATGCCAGAGAATCGGGGTTTCTGATCGTTTCACACATAGGCCTGTTCTGGGTTCATACGAGCTCCTACAAAGATACCTTACTTGGGGCTTAATGGCCTGTAGCCAGTAGCAGTCCAACTACTTTTTTTTTTTTTTTAAGAAACTACTCACTGACAGAAAACTATGAACATCCACAAGAAATAACAATATCTTTGGGGGAATGTTCTCCTAAAATAATGGTGATTATATGTTATGTCTTTGAAAGATCGACAAGTGAAGCTCTCTCAAAAGAATTGCATATTTGGAACACCTCATTAGGCACGTTTGTCACACATACTATGCCAGACCTGCAAGTCAGCAGTCCTTTGTTTCAATTCTTGAGGACTTGGTTTTCCTTTACACCTTGCAGCACATAGCAGAGCACAGAGACACTGTCCCTGCCAGCTCCAGCATAGCAGTGCAAGAGGCCAGAACTTCCAGCCCAGCTGCACCTGCTTGGCCCTGTCTAGCCAGTGGAAATGTACTGCCTCCTCACTCCTGCCAGCTGACTTGCTTTGTAATTGCTTCCTAACTCAGCCCAGTTAAAAGGAGCTGAATTAATAAAAACATGTCTAAACTAACCTGATGTTTCTCACTACAGGGGTTTTGGGGGTAGGATGGGGAATAGTGAACTGCACAGCTGACACAGCTAGAAGGTGATGTGTGCCGGCAAAGGCTGGAAACCAAATTTAACATCTATACTTCACCACCATTATTATGACTCAAAATCTGGTAACCTGCACTGGTATGTACAGACATTGTAGTGTGGTGCTTCATGATATGTAAATAACACTATATCCCCACATTAGGCCAACTCCATCTTTCAGTAACATACAGCGGTTTCCTGCAGCAACCTTAATCTTTCATGTTCTGCATGAGCGACAAGAAGAGACTGAGAGAATTCACTGCCATAAGAACAATGGAATTCAAGAAATCAAACTGCACATTGCTGATGTGATATCTTTTCACCTCATTGGCAAAGTGCTATCAATTAAAACTACGGATATACAAATAGTCTTGTTTTCTGACTCATCTGAACAACAGTAGTAGTCTCATCAATACTGCAAGAAAGATAAAAACCTTGTAAGGCAGCTTCCCTTCTTGTTTTAAGAATGGGAGTAAAGTTAGCTGTTAGCACTTCAACTAGGCAGATCAAATATGCTTAAATACTCAAGGAAGACGCCTACATTTTGGTCACGTCTTTCACGTGCACAGTGTCATTTCTAGCGGCTGACATTAGGTCACTTTCATATGCTTGCAAGGCGCTTGAGAGACAACCTAAAGCACATGTCTGATTTTGCTGGGCATATGCTGGAACATACGGCTTCAGCAGGGTGGCATCGGTTATTTTGCATTGCACAATAGCACACTGCCTTTATAAGCATTGATGGAAAAAAGTATCCTAAATGCTCAGAGCTGTACTGTAGGCCACGTAGCAAGTTTAAAAAAAAAAAAAAAAAAAAAGGGCAAACAAAGAAGCAAATACAAAAATGAAGCACTAACCTGGAGAAAAACGCAGCACTGTTAAGGAAGGAGATTTCATCTGTTACCTCCATCTCCTCCAAATACGAGCTACTGCCTCCTAATCGCAGGCTGAACTGAGGCATTCCATCGGACAGACCTGGTTGTGGCACCAGGCACGTTTGGATAGATCCTTTCCTTGGGGATTTTGTCATCTACAAAAGCAAAGAAAATAAAAATGAAACATGAAATGAAAAAAGGTAGAGCAGCCTTGCTAGATAATCTGTAGCAGAAAGACATACCCTACCAGTGTGCATCTGCAAATAATATTACAAGCTACAAAATAAAAGAAAAAAAAAAGTGCAAGTCAAAGCTTCTACTCAGTATAGTAGATATTCTTACATAGTCTACAGATTATTTAAGAAAAAGATGTGTCCACTGCAAGACTTGGGGCAATAATGAAGATAAAACAAAGTAAAAAGAAAAACTGAATATTATTTTTTATTCATAGAAAACCTATTAAAAAGAAAACAATGAATCCTTGTTTCCTGATATTGGCTAAAGAAATGCATGATAAAAGAAATTATACTGCTCTAACGTTTTTTGTCTCCTGTAGTTCTCAAGAGAAAATTTTGCAGCAGATTTGTGCACTCACACATGAATATCATGCAACAAAGTTTGAGGGAACAATACCTTACAAAAGAGCAACAGTGTATGTGGTATGATCAAGATAGCATTAGGAAGACAAGCATATTTCACTGCTATGGCGTAAAAGAGTAAAGACAAGTGATGCTTTGTAAAACATCTTGTAATTTTCTCCAACCATCTCTTTTTATGGTCAGCATGACTTGCAACACTCCCTCTGGGAAAAGTTGGGGATAATCTCTGAAATCCCTGATGAAGGCTACTACTAGGGCACAACAAACACACAAGAACTCTGCAACATGTTTATGTATTATCAAAATAGAAAACTTGTTCCATGTTGTAACATATTATTACAGGTTTTAACCTGTTACATGCTAACAAGTTTGCAGGTTTGGAGTTGTCCTTCTTGCGTACCTTCTTTTGTATTGATGTCCATAGCAGACAAATGACATAATGACAAAGATTGAGTAAGTTTTATGAAGTCCACTCACTATTGCCCAGTTAAGAACCACCCCTCTACAAGACTACTGTTTTCTGCTTTCCATACTCTAAAACTATTAGCAAACTAAAGGAAAGACATTACCTATTTGTACCTACATCTTCTATAACATATATTTTGCTCCCCTCAGAATGACTTTTGCAAACAATATTGTGCTTTTTCTTTTTTCTCACAGCCTTTCACATTTTATTGCTCCCCTCAGAATGACTTTTGCAAATAATATTGTGCTTTTTCCTCACAGCCTTTCACATTTTATGATGCTTTTCATCTTTTCCTTTCAGATTCAGCACTGTGTCACAATGCAAAGTTAACCTGTGTTTCTTCTACATTCCCAGCAAGCCAACTGAGGGTTTGAGATGCTGTATACTGAGCTTCACAGTGCAACAGAGAAGTCCCACATTAAAATGGTTTGCAGAAGAGAGATCTACAAACCTTTGTAAATAAATAAAGATGGTCGTGATAAACCCAAGGAGAAGCCTGAAGAACACAGTTTTGTTTGGGTGAAATGTGCATCATGTGATATTGGTCTCCTCCTCTTCTCGTGAAGCTTAACCTCAGATACACTCGACAAAGACCAGAATCAGCTTGAGCCATGTGCGTTACAGGCTCTTACGTTATAGTTAGAGGCTGTGGCCTCTGAAGATGGGCTAATGCATAACCAGGGCTTATGCCAAGGAATATGATGCTTCCAAAGCTTCACTACTTTGTGATTTCAAATACAGCTTCATTTCAAATTCATCTTAACCATACTGAAGATGAAGGGGACCTAGCAATGCGCAATTAGAACACCAAGCAGCAAGGGATTCCTTGTTGGGAATCCTACAAGGGATCATTATACCACCCATTCCACGTGGTTCTTCCAAGATTCACTGTTTCAGAACATTCACATGCAAGGAATTGTGTGTGCAGATTTAGCAGGAACTAGTCACTATTATGACCAGTATAACTATTTATCACGGCGGATGATAAAGAAAGTGCAATAAAACCTCTGCCCTAGAGGCACAAACTGGCCAGTCAGGGCAGCATCATCCCACACAAGCCACAGTGAATATTTTTCACAACAGACTAAATGCATCATATGGTTGTTTCACCTCCCTGCGAGTTGTCCGGAGTTACTAGGTTCAAAGATCAAAGATAAATACACCATAAATTCTAAAGATCTGATTTGGTGTGGTAACTCTCATCTTTCTCCGCCCTGAAGAGTAGGGATCAGTCACTCCAACCACTCCACACCAAGATTAGTAAGGAGAGCCAAGGGCAAGTGCATTAACACAGTGTGAAGATGCAGATCCTCAACTTCTCCAGGTACTTCATCTCAAGAAAGAAGTTTCCTCTACGTGAAGCTATGTATGGACATTAAATAGGCAATTTATAAGTAATTTAAGTAAATAATTATGAATAATTTGAGTAAAAATTTAAATAATCATGAAATCCTAACAGACAAACCTCATTTTAAAAAGGTTTGTTTCTAAGCAAACGGTACTTAGAAAAAAAAGGGGAAGAGGGAAGCCACACTAAGGACTTAACCTGCAATACTGTTTTAAAAACCTACTGCATTTGGCAAGTCTTTTTCAAACTAGAAATGCCACATCATCCTAAACGACTGCCAATGGGAGACAAAGATCAATACCTCAGTAATTTCTACCAGGTCTAGCACAGAGTCAGCACAGATAACATAAGCAATAATGCATACTTGCAAGACAGAGTCACCAATCCTCCTTCATACCCAGAACCAAAACTCAAACCCTTCCCTGTTTAACTGTCACACTGAAATCATAAAGTCACACTGAACTCACTGGTGATACAACACGCTCAGGCTGATCTCTGACTAGCACACACAGTCTGTTTGCAGAAAGAAACCCTGAACAGGTGATGTCCTGGGTTAGGAGGTCATGTGGAGAGGGAAAATAAGCTCTATAGCTCTCACAAGGTGCAGGTCTGTGGGAGGGCAAAGAAAAGCAGTCCACAACAGAGTATGAAGCCAATCCCTTGCAAACTGAAATGCAGCGTCTAAATCTCCAATTTGGGATTCACTCCCACCAAACAGGAATCTTAGAGAAAGGTATGTTGAGGACATTAAAAAAACCTCAAAAATGAAGCAAGCAGGAGTGCTTCAGTTTTAATTCTTTTCAGCTGGTGCTTTAGCATACTAACTGGTGGCAGTGTAATTCTTCCCCGTATATGAGACTGACGTCACATACTCCTGCAAAGCACTCACAGATTCATCTTTGAACTCTATGGACCTCAGATTCCCCTGCCTCACAACTGCTGTGTCTGCACGCCTAGGCAAAGCACTAACACAACAGGATGTCTGTGTTTTCTCTCAGCTTCGAAATTCAGTGGTATGCACTGTGAATACCACCATCAAGTACAAAACAGGGGTGAGCTGGTCCCAGAGCTAAAAGCAGTTACTGAAGTGTAAACATGTTTTGCTTTCCTCTCCCCCGCCCTGCTGTTTCATGTACAGATAGGGAAAAATGGACATACTGTTGCTTTGAATCTTTTTTATGCCTTTGCTTCATACTGGTAGCCACCTTTCAGCTTAAGCATTTTTAAGTAGCATCAAGCACAGTAGCAATGATGAAATAGCAAACATTCTGCTATCGCAAATTACCTAATCAAGCTTTGCTGAGCAGTTCCAACGTTGCTCTCTTACAGCAGACACCTTGCACCACCAGGAATTCTGCCACTAGCTCAAAGGTAACTGGATTCTCTTACCTGAACTTTCTCTGCAGCAACAAAGCCTATGGCCTCTTGAGAGTAAGATAATCCAAACTTCAGTTGCCACCCTGAATGTAGACTCAGAGTAACCCATCCCCAACAGAGAGCAAGGGTGATATAAATATTTAAAACTAACTCTTAACATGGACAAGACTCTAAAGAAACAAGTGTTCCAGTGGCTATAGCTTCTATCTTTCATTTATTTGGTTTCTTTGAACTCTCCTCACTTTGAGGAAAAAAAAAAAAAGAGAGAGAACTAAGGATAAGAATATTATGTAAAAATGAAGAAGAATCAATAATAAGAAGCGTAAACATGCCCAGGTGATTGCATGCAGGATAGAGATATAGGAATGAACTTATTATGCTGACTATGATTGGAGATACCTGCTTTCAGTTTTCTATAGGACAGAGTGTCTGTTCATCTTTGTGTGCAGCTGACCAATCGTAAAAATGGTGACAGTGAAATTATAGTAAACTACTGTAGTTGCAAAAGGTATCACTTGATATTTCAATATGTCCTTATAATAAAAATGCCATCTCCAGTAAAGGAATCTGAAAGTAAATGCTCTGCAAATACCAATTGTGGTGTTAAAAGAGCAAACAGCAACGGAGCACAGTGCCCACTACATTCCTCGATCCTTCCTGTTGCTTAAATATTTTAGGTGTAAACACATTTGTGTTTGCCAAAGGATTTCTGCATTAGAAAGTGTGAAGCTATGCCAAAAATCAGATCTGCTCCCCTGAAGACCATGTAAGTAGGTTGGAAAGACTCAAACAAATTGTTGAGAAACCTGTCTTTCTCCATGTATGGTATTCCTCCTCCTCACAGCATGACAAAGTATTACAGAGTAATGAAAGAATTTGCTGCCTAAGAGGCACCGTTGGCACTAGGGTATACTGCACAATAAACCATCAAGTGTAGACAGATCCTTCAGGGAAAATAAATTAGTTTTACATATATATTTCTCCTACCCCATAATTCTGTATGGCTAACTAATTAACAAAGGAATCTGAAGAACTGAAACAATGAGCAAAAGGGTTCACTCCAGCTACATAAATACCAAGCACTTCTGTTTCCCAGCAATAAGGAATGCTGTTTGCAAACTGTACAAAGCAGTCTCAGGCCTTGGAAATTTTGAAGAGGGAAGCGGCACTTATAAGCACACAACTAAAATGGTATTATATCTACCTGAGCTCAACTAGTACATTTTCCTCCAGCCCTCTGATCAACAGCAGACTATTAAAATGGGATATGAAATGTATGC